TTTTTTAAAATTTAATCTTTTCAATACATATAAAATATATTTTTGAAAAGGCACCTAATCCATAATAGAATTTGGATATTCTTTATGACAATGGTGTCTTACAATTTTATTACCCATAGTAAGAGAGATACTCATAATTAAGTGCAGTTTCTTTCTCTGAGTTTGTTCTTGGTTTTAAATCTTTAGATCTAAAGTTTTAACCCTTTGATACAGTGGTGCCAAACTTTTTTCATTAAATGAAAGGAGAGTTTAAAAAAATGGCATTGTTAAAATGCGAAATTATACAGCATGTCTTGACAATATTTGCATACTTATATATTTTTAAAATATACATAACATAATTATTAATAGAAGTTCTAATATTTTCTCCTGCTGTGCAGTGGGTTGCCTTGCTCTCCTCATGGTGTGGAGACCACTATTTTGCAGGTGGCGTATTACTTTTTTGCATTTGCTGCACTGCCACTAGGTGGCAGTGGACACCTTAACTGCCTAGCAGTGTCCATACAGGAGCTTTGTCCCAGATCCTCATTTAGAAGATCAGTTTAGCAAACCTTTTTCACATTGTTAACTATTAAAAAGACACTTTATGTAGAAGTAACATATATTCCTGAAATACAATTCAGTGTCTTCCTCATTAACTCCTAATCCACATATATTTTTCTTTTTTTTCTTTATTGGTCAGTCTCACCTTTTAGCTTAGATGCTTTCCAATGATTTGTTCTCAGCTTCATGACTGCTTGACATTAGAGGCCTCTAGGCCCCCTATTTCTCAACTATTTTACCTTGGTGAGAGCTCTCTGCTTTTTATGTAATTAAGGGGAAGACTTTAGTTTGTTCTTTTAGTTTTAAAATTAACTAGAAATGCTGTTCAGTGAGAATATTAAAAAATCTTTTCTCTGACAGTTGTCCTTAATCAGAAGAAGGTAATTTGTCTTTTGACTGCTTTTTGAAAAAGAAGGGAAACAGTCCCCTTTATTATCTATTTACTTAGTACATGTTCTTAGGATGAGTGTAATTTCAGAAATGGAATAATTAAACTTTACTAGATATGATTTGAGTATTTCCATTACCATATCTTTCATAAACTTTATTAAAAAATGACTCTGTGCCTTATACAACTTATCACTTTTTTGGTCTGTCACTTTTGAAACAAATATTTAATTGGGCTTTAGAACATTATTTTAAATTTATTTCCTAACATCTTCAAACTGTAAAATGACGCTTGTTAACAGGAATATCCAAATACCTAATCTCTTAAATGTGTAAAAAGCCTTTTTTCTAAATTTTGAAAGTTATTCGTAAGTATTTCTTGAATGATGAACTGTTGGACTGCAAACTAAGAGAACTGATAAATTGGTAAAGAAATAAAATATAACATTTGTAAAGTTAGCATTATCAATCACCTTGTCATTTAACTTTTGTGAAAAAAGTTATAATAGTTAATAGAAAGAGTAGTGGAGTAGGAACCAAGATAGTAGAGTCCACCTTTCCCTTTGTCACTAATTGTGTGACTTTAGACAGGTCACCTGACTCTTGTCCTTAGTTTTTATCTATAAAATGAAAGATTTAGAAAAGCTCTTTAATTTCCCAGCTAATATCAATTTTCTGTACATCTCTCTAATCTGGATTTTTCTATGTAGACTTAATTAAATAATGTTTTAACCAGTACTGATGAAGTTCATGTGTAAGGACACTAAGGAGCTAATGCCACAGCTTTATGAACTGCTTGGTGGATGCATAACAATATATCCACACCTGATTTTGGGGTAGAGAGAGGAGGGGGAACTTTGGTATTCATTCTGCGTATCACTTATATTTTATACCTGTCTTCTTCATCCTTGAGCTTTCTTCAGAGATGGCTGAGTTATTTTCTCTAGTGAGTTATAAATCAGGCTTATAAGAACCTTAACTTTATTGTTTTCCCAGAAAAGAATTTACTGGTTTGGATAATTTAAACTATTAACCTTACTAGCTCTATAGCATTTAGGACATCCATAGTATAATTGGTTACTTTTATGTAAACTAAAGTAGCATCAAAATGTTTTTATTTTTGTTTTTTTCCTAAAAACTAATTATAATTTTAAAATTTTTGTTTCCATTTTTTTGGCATGCCACATGGCTCGAGGGATCTTAGTTCCCTGACCAGGGATCAAACCCTGGCCCCCTGCAGTGGAAGCGTAGAGTCCTAACCACTGCACCGCCAGGGAATTCCCAAATTTTTTGTTATTTTTTAATGGTGAATCTGGTTGTTCCTTCATTATTAACTATTTGGACACCTATTTCAGGAAGGATGACATGTATAAAGAGAGTGCCTAACTCTGACTTACCTAAATCTGTCTCAAGGAAGTTCTTAAATGTTATTAAGTGTAAAGATAGGAGAGTAATAATTTGCAACATCTTAATTTGGATGGTGTTGCTGATGATGATTGGTAATGATAAACTATAAGAGGAGAGAAAGCAGAAAGGGAAGAATGAGAAGTGAAAACATATTACTAGATTAAGTCTATGAAAATGTTAGTATCACCCCAATTCAACCCTCTAACGCTCAAATTCTGGATATTTTTAATAAGTCCCTTATTTTGTGAAACTACAGTGAATTCTGAAATCTTGAATCTGAACCAGTTTGAAAATCCAGTTCTTCATCTGCTATTTAATAAGCCTTCTTTATTGTTTAACTAACCTTTAACTTTTGATCCAGTTATTTTCAGATTATTCCTTGACACTGAATCAGCTTTTAAAGGTTTTATCCGTATTGTTCACTAGCTTCCATTTTTTCCAAGAAGAATTTTTATTTCTTGCCAATATGAGCAACTTCCCATGGAATTTTGTGTGAAATTATAAATAGAACTTTAGACATTTACATTATTATACTTATGTAATTAGACTTTGAATATTAAGGGAAAATAGATGAATTTTGCACCTCTTTCAAAATTGTTTGTCTGATAAAGTGGCAGATGGCATTTATAATTTTATTTTAACTCTGTTTTGTCTTTAATAGTAGAGTTGAGGGAGAGAAAATTAGTTATATATAATTTCCCATATAGGTAAATATTTTATTGCAGACAACTTTTATGAATAGGATGCATTTGAGGTTTTCAGCATAATTGAAGAATTATAGTCAAGTTAGCATTTAGTGATCACTCGATATACATTAGCCTGTAATGTCTTGGGATTTCTGTCTGCCATTCTATGCTTGCGTTGGGGATTCCACAGACCACTCCTCCAGTTGGTGATTCATTAGGGCTCACAGGACTGAGCACATAGAGGTACTCATGGCAAAGATTTATTACAGTGAAAGGATATAAAACAAAAATTAACAAAAGGGAAAGACACATGGGGTTAAGTCTGGGGGAAACTACACACAAGCTTCCAAGAGTATTCTCTCATTGGTCACAGGGGATATGCTTAATGTCTCCAGCAATGAATTGTTGCAACACACATGAACTGTTGTCTAAAGAAGCTCAGTGCCTAGGGTTTATTGGGGGCTAGTCACGTGGGCATCTTCTGTCTAGGACATACCAAGATTCTAGACTCCCAGAAGGAAAGCAAGTATTCAGCATAAACCACATTGTTAGCACAAATAGTTGAGACACAATGAGCCCATCTTATCGGGATAATGGGAACCCTCTTGAAATCCTAGATCCTAGATGCCAGTTAAGGGCCAACCTTGCAAAGCAGGCCTTTCTAAAGATAGCAGTCTCAGGCCTGCTATGTTGACTGTTTCTCTGCACAGTAGTGATTATATTTTATACAGTATTTTAAAAGTCATCATTAATATCATCTCAGAGGAATTTGGTCTAATAGGAAGTTATGTCAGAGAATTATATGTTAAAATGGGATCTCTAAGGAACATGGGTTGCCCTTTGGTTAAATTTTTTAAGGAATTTTTAAGATGAATATATTTCTTTCAGACTCTCATACTTTTAAGACCAAAATACTTTTGTGAATTACAAAACAAATTTTTGTGTGCTACGTTTAGTGTCATTCCTGAAGATGCTATTAATAATACCTGAAGATGCCTGAGATCTTTTTACTGTTGATCCTTGTGGAAGATGGAATGTTTTGAGAATTTTTCTATTTTAAATTTTTGAGGTCTGTACTTCTGCTAGCCAAAGTGTATGTATAATAATGGGGAGAATACTACTAGACTTAAGTATGACAGTTTTGGAAAAAAATGGTAGTAATATTTGTATAAATTTTTGTTCATCATAGACTAATAAAGTTGAAATAAAGAAGTAAGACTAGACTTCTTTACTAGATTTAAAACAAAGTAGATGCTTCTTTTACTCTTCCTATGTAATATATGCCACTTTACCAATGAGTAATGTGTTGGATGTGAGGCTGTTACAGTCAAAATTTGATGGATCAGATCAATTAAATTTAAATTCTTGTTGAAAATTTATATTCATGAGATTTAATGTTATAAAAAGAGTTTGCTTTGAAATAATGTATCTATGCTAATTTAAGAATTTATTATAGTTGAGGTCTATCCCGATGGGGCTTTTTCTGTAAACCTACATCGTTGGAAACGCCTCATAGATTAACTGCGTGGTTTCCTTTACTCATAGAACTACCTGTTAGATCTGTGGGAAAGAACTACAAGACAGAGCTGCCAAGTAAACTGTGAAAAACCTAACAAACTTTTTATCTTAGGTATTGGCATATCCCAATGATCTGTACTAGGTTGTGATGGCTTAGGAGTGACTATGATTTGAATCTAATACGTTTTTAGAGGGTGTCAAATTCAGAACCAGGCAGATCCATCTCCTGACCCTAAACATGGTCCTAAAGTAAATTGCTTGAGGAAATTGGATCCCAAAACTTACAGGTGGGGAATTTTGAAGTGTGTCCATATTTCATTGGAGATCAAAGAAGCCTAACTAAAAGAATTGTGGGCTGACTCACATGATAACTTCTTTTTGAAAGGGCTGTTTTATCTTGAAGATTATGAGTTTGGAGGAACTAAGGTGATTGGCAGTGGAAAGAATCAGAACGTGTGAAATTCCTTAAAAATTTATTGACTTAAATAACTTTGTGTTACACATAATAAAAAAAAAAAAACCCTTTACACTTTGTACGGAAAGTCAGCATATATTTTTGGCTCGAAGTGTCTCTAATGTTTTCTGTGGAGGGAATAATAACATTTATCAGTTATAGTTCTGATGTGCCTTAGACATAAAAAATTGGGGGGGGCGGTGGCTGCTCACCTTATGAAATTCTTTTGCCCTTGCTCTGTTTTGGGCATATGCGTCTTGCTTTGCTTTCTCTTTTGCTTTTTCACTTCAGGTAACTGATGGTATAATCTGTAAGAAAGTTATATGGAATTAAAGACAGACACTTTAAAAAAAAAAAAAGAATTTATTATAGACTTTGGAAATATAGGAATTTTTGAAATTATAAAAAATTAACATGCAGGTTTAAAATTTAAATAATTTATAGTAATGAAGTGGTCCTACTGCAGGAAAAAAATATTTAAATTATAAATTATGATTGTAATAATTGTTATCTTAAATTATATCCCTTTTATATTATTTTGACTTTATTTGCAGGTCCTAATCTACCCATGGCAACAGTTGACATAAAAAATCCAGAAATTACAACAAATAGATTTTATGGTCCACAAGTCAACAACATCTCCCATACCAAAGAAAAGAAAAAAGGAAAAGCTAAAAAGAAGAGATTAACTAAGGCAGATATTGGAACACCAAGCAATTTCCAGTAAGACAGTTCTTTTATTATTCTTATCTTTACTTTTGATTTACTCATTTCTGCTCTTGATTTTTTAAATTGTTAGAAAGTTTGGTTTGCTTTTTGGGAGAACCCTTATATTTATCACTTGCATACCTTTTCAGCTATAAATTTTGTTGGAGTTTTTTAAAGGCTATTGCTCAATAGACGTTTTATTAATCTGAGTTTATTTACTTTTCCACCCATGAGAAAAGAAAAATTAGAGTTGTTTTTTCAACTAATTGTTGGACATGAAAAGGAAATCTCACTTTTCCCTATAAATGATATTTGGAAATTGCCTAAAGGCATTGTCCTAATCTGTTTGGGCTGCTAACAGAATACAATAGACTGGGTAGCTTATAAACAACAGAAATTTATTTCTCACAGTTCTGGAGGCTGTGAGAAAGGAAGAGGCAGGCAAGATTCGGTGTCTTGTGAGGTCCCACTTCTTGGTTGATAGACAGCCATCTTCTCACTGTGTCCTCACATGTTGGAAGAGGGCGAGAGAGCTCTCCAGGACCTCTTTCTTAAGGGCACCAATCCCATTCTTGGGGAATCCACTCTCATGACCTCCCCAAATCCTCATCTCCAAGAACTATCACATTGGGGATTAGGTCTCAAGATAGGAATTTTCGGAAGACACACTCAGTCTATAGTAGGCATCATACCTTTGGTATTTATTTGACATATTTCAAGCATTCTCTTATCCATTATTTCATTACTTCATTACAAAACTCCTGTCCTCTCATACATACAATGCTTGTGTTCTTATGCTAGTTTGTCAGTTAAGGAAATGGATACTCAGAAAGATTGTGTAAAAATGTTACAGCCCAATTAGTAGCAGAGCCTGGGCTAGAATCCTGGTTTCTTGACTGCTTGTACAGTTTTTCCCTGAATATGGTTATGTCTATGAGAACTGTTAGTTCAGGCCAAAAATTCACTGAGTGGATTGGATTTCATATATATTAGGTTTTTAATGCCATTTATGCATTTTATTTTTCTATATTTTTCTATCTACTGCTTTAGGCACATTGGACATGTTGGTTGGGATCCGAATACTGGCTTTGATGTAAGTGTCTTTTCAAGCCATAAGCATTATTATTCTAAATATGTGGGAATGTCATGGTCTATCTTTAGACTTTTATTCTTATTCATTTTTGTTAACTCTAGTGTTTATTGGAATGTGCTTGTATTTATGTTCATATTCCACTGAGGTTTTAAATCATAGACTGTTCTATCATTGATGGCTAAGTCTCTAAAGAGAAAGTTTTTTTTAACTCCTTGGCTTTATCTACTATAATGTAAAAACTCTATGTTTTGAAAGCCAAGAGAAGAAAATTATTTCTGCAAAGTGATCATTCGAGGGGAATATATGCCAAATTACTGGAAAGTACTATAATAAAATTCTGAATATCCAATTGTTAAAATTATCTAGATCTTTTTATTCTAGTATTCTTTTTGGCAATTTCATCATTCATTAATTTATAGCATTGTGAGCAAAATAGTTGAAACTTGGTTACCTAAGTTACGTATTTAACATTTGGCAGATAATCAGGGTTTGGAAAAATTATTTGAAAAGAAATATTATTTGTGATTGGGGTCAAAAATTATTTTGGTTATTTTTGTTAGAACTACAATGTTAACACCACAGTGTTTTTGAGTGCCTCTTTGTGTTGGGCACTGTACAGGGTGCTTGGGTCATAAAGAGGTCCTTGACCTCAAATTTTCAAATGATTTACTTTTTTTGTGGTATTTGTGATTATACCTAAATCTTATTTAGGACAAGGTGGAATAGTAGGTGAGCATTAGAGGTGTCTGAGTCATGGAAGGATTAGTAAAACTTTAAATGATATGCCTTCTTTTTAAAGGTAGGGAACAAAGAGATGAGATAAAATATAAAACCTATTCTTTGTTCTTATCTTTTCTATTTTTTGTAAGACAGTTTAGTTAGCATATAAATTAACTATATTAAAAATTTATAAACATAAAAGAAAATAATTTCATAAAGGGCATAGATATGAGAATAATATTTCAACTTGCTATTGTAAAAAATTTGACATAGGTTTTATAGTTAGCAGTTATTTTGTCTGTTGTAGCTGAATAATTTGGATCCAGAATTGAAGAATCTTTTTGATCTGTGTGGAATCTCAGAGGCACAACTTAAAGACAGAGAAACATCAAAAGTTATATATGACTTCATTGAAAAAACAGGAGGTGTTGAAGCTGTTAAAAATGAACTACGAAGGCAAGGTAACTTTTATTTCTATTCAGGCATTCTGATCTATTTTTTCTTTTGACTCTTTTGAGGTCAGTTTCATGGACGACAGCTACATACATTCACGTGAACCTTCCTTAAGCAGAATGTTCAAATTTATGGAGAACTAGTTTGGCCCAGTGTACTGTGTTTTACATTATTTCAGTATAATTGAAAAACTTGTCAAGGCTTTCCTTATTATTAAAAAGTCTTATATTAAATTAATGAAAATTCATACAAAATCTTCTGGCTATTTGTTTTAGAATAAAAAATAATAGTTGCATAATATTTCACTTACTGAATCTTAGAGACCACTATCAATGTTGTTTTTATTACAATTCAGAAGTAGTAATTTAAATATAATCATGAATTCTGTAATGTATAATAAGCATTTTCAGAATATAAATAATGAAAAATCTATTTATTTTGAAATACATTTTTTTTCTTGGCTAAAGTATAAAATTTGTCATTCGGTACCTGAGAGCACAAACAACTTGCAACCTTTTAAGATCTGATATTTTATTTAAATCACCTTGTTTTTTGGTCATATCTTAATAATTATCACAGTAAAATGCAAATACAGTTAATTCTGAGTTTTCTAATATAACTGTTATCTCTTTGCCACCTTATTCATTTGGGGTTACTTTTCTTCTTCCTAGTCTTTGCATACTCATGATAGATAGTGTAGCAAAACAAAAGCTCCAGTTAATCATAGCATTCTTCTGAAGAATTTAACTCATTTTCAATTAGGTATTTGACTTACCTGTATCTTTTTCACTGCTGATGTTCATTCATTCACTCATTCATATATTCAGTAAACATTGTTATGTCAGCACTGGTCTCTACTCAGGATATTTCGATATAAAGGTACGGTTTCTGCCCCCAGAAATCTTAGTCTGGTGTGACAACAGGTATATAAACAAGTATACAGTCATAATTACTGTTGTGGAAACACAATGCTAGTCCCACTGAAACTAGTATGATGCTAATTTATCTTATTTCATGAAGAGATTACATTTCCAAATTTGTGGATTTTTAATAAAAACATCTGGGGCACAGCAACATTATTGTTTTTTAATGCGGCCAGAATGAGTTGTAGTTACAGTTAGTATACAGATGATGGAAGGTCTTGTGGACCTCTAGTTTGTTCCTTGACTCTCTTTTTCTCCACCGTTACCACTCACCTTCACCTTATACCAAAATATTTTCAGGGTCTCTCTGAGTTCTCTGAATTTATAAGTTTATAAATACTCTTGACATTTGTTAGTCCATACTGCTGCCCTCTCACCTGAATATCTGTAACTGAGAGTTGTCTGTATTAACTTAATTGAGTTTGTTTTTTAAACTTATTATTACTGCTTTTTATTCTAATTGCTTTTAAAACATCAAATTAGGCAAGGTCTTTCCTCAATTAAATTACCTAAAACAAAAAAAATTCACAGGCATTACATAAAACATGCTTTGGGAACTTATACTCAAGATTCATATACTCAAGAATCTAACTCCCAGTTTGAAACCTTTTAGACAACCAAGATTGATTTTATAGAAGGTACATTTTTTTAGAGGAAGAATAAAAAGACAGATTAATGATTTTTATTAAGGAAATGTTTTCTAGGCAAAACATATAGTGTGTTCAGAAGTATGAAAAAAAATTAGAGACAGAGAAGTTTATGAAGTTATCATAAAAATATATTTTGTAAAACTTAAATCTCTTGAAATTTATTTTGTAAAATCATGTAATCAAATTTGTAAAAAGTAGGAGACCTTGTGATTTCCACTGTATCTTTTTGTGTGTGTGTCTTTGCAATTGTTTGAAGTCCATTAATTTCTAATAATCTGTTCTTAGGTCCACCACAGTGGAGTGGTATGTATGGGGGATGTTATTTGGCCCAGTGTACTAAATTATGCATGTGTTTATTTTCAAAGAAGCTACAACTCATTTATCCTGCCTCCAAATCTAACATCCAGTAAGGTTTTCTGCCTTCTATTCAAACTAATGTTTGGGGCTATGTAACTAATGTTACATAGATGCTAAAGTAAAAAAGGAAGTTTATTTCTATATGAGTCAGAGCTCATATTTCATCTGTAATTTAGATAATTTTTTTGAAATTCTGTGGATTACCTCTTAACGGCACCACTGTTTTTATTATTAATATACTTATTTTTAGTGATTGCTTTTCACAATTGGCATTATTTCAATAACCTACATAAAATATACTTACATTTTTACATTAATTTGGGGCAGTGGGGAGGACTAAACATAAGCAAACATGCAGTTATAAATGACTACTCAGAGAGTTGTTAGTATTCCCATAAGTTTAAATTTGTCTTGAATAATACTTGCCTGGTTTACTTCATCTTCATGAGAGTAGTTTCCTGAATTCTATAAAACTACATTTCTTTTAAATATTAGTTATATTTATATTATTTTACAATTTCTGCTTATAATTCCCTTAAATAAATATCTAGAGTTATCTACCAATTACTCTTAATATTAATTTGATCTGAAATAATATCTGAAAGTTAAGTATATCA